TCAGTAGAGATGGGGTTTCACCATGTTAGCCAGGATGGTCTCGATCTCCTGACCTCGTGATCCGCCCGTCTCGGCCTCCCAAAGTGCTGAGATTACAGGCTTGAGCCACTGCATCCGGCTCAGAGTAATTTTTTAAAGGACCATAGTAAACTTTAGAAGAGTCCAAAAGATTTTAAGAATCTTAAAAGAATTAAAAGAATTTTAAGAAAGGATAAGCCAAGTTTATTCATCCTAACACAAAATTACAACTGATAACAGAAATAAAAAGTGGTAAAGGTCATGACAAAGAAAACAGGAAAATACTCTTCTAAATTCTTCCCTTAAATTAGCACATGATTTTCTATAAAATTGCTAGTAACTTCAGGTTCACTCATAGTTGTATTCAAGTTTTTAAACAAATAGCTGTTGGGTTAGAAAAGCATTCTCAGTTTCATGTTATATATGTCTTTAGGATCAGTCTTAGAACAGAAGACCTATCTCATTTCGTTATACTACCCAACAAAACAGCAGTAGCATCCAATAGACCTAACTCAAATCTTCCACAGACCTAAGTTCATCAAAGCCTTCATAGGCTCCTAGATTCATTTTTAATGAAACAAACACCACAGTCTATATCAAAATTAATATTTTGGGACATTTTAACACCTCTAAAAATATTGAATATCCTATCTAATGGCTGCATTTCCTAAAATAGAACATTTACCACAGCTTGCACTGATTTCTTTAGAAACACTGCAACTGTTTGCAAAGAAAATAGCTCTGCAGAGCTGACTCTTTTATAATCTCAAAATAGGCATAGATCTCAGACAAGAAGCACTTGTTCTAATTACGTATTTTTCCTTTTTTCCCATCTCAGACACATCCCAAAGAATATTTTAATGACAGCCATAGGACATATCACCAGATAATCTGATTAAAAATGATAGTCTGCATTTTGCCCAAGAGATTACTCCTACAGAATATAAAAATTCTCCCCAATTGTTAATACAACTAATAAAAGTTATATATGTAACAACAAAATCACTTAACAAAAAGATGGCAAGTGATTAAGCAAAAATCAGTTTACCGAAAGATTAATAAATATTGCTACTGAACTAGAAGAGTTACACTAAAAATAATAGAAGTTTAAAATGAATTCATTCAGTAGTGCCTTTGATAACATCAGCACATACTATTTATAAATGTACTTCAGAAAGATGCTTAAGAAATTACAACTCACATCCAATGGAAATGTAAAAATATAAATACTACAGCTGGGCACAGTGGCTCACACCTGGAGGCCAAGACGGGTAGCTCACCTTGAGGTCAGGTTCGAGACCAGCCTGGCCAACATGGTGAAACCCTGTCTCTACTAAAAATACAAAAAATTAGCCAGGCATGCCAGGTGCAGTGGCTCACGCCTGTAATCCCAGCACTTTGGGAGGCCAAGGCGGGCAGATTATGAGGTCAGGAGATCGAGGCCATCCTGGCTAACATGGCAAAACCCCATCTCTACTAAAAATACAAAAAATTAGCTGGTCATGGTGGCAGGCGCCTGTAGTCCCAGCTACTCGGGAGGCTGAGGCAGGAGAACGGCATGAACATGGGAGGCAGAACTTGCAGTGAGCTGAGATCGTGCCACTGCACTCCAGCCTGGGTGACAGAGCGAGACTCTGTCTCAAAACATTAAAAAAAAAAAGAAAATTTCGCCGGGCACAGTGGCTCATGCCTATAATCCCAGAACTTTGGGAGGCCAAGGAGGACAGATCACCTGAGGTAGGGAGTTCGAGACCAGCCTGACCATGGAGAAACCATGTCTCTACTAAAAATACAAAATTAGCCGGGCATGGTGGCACATGCCTGTAATCCCAGATACTAGGGAGGCTGAGGCAGGAGAATCACTTGAACCTGGGAGGCCGAGGTTGCAGTGAGCCGAAATCGTGCCATTGCACTCCAGTCTGGGCAACAAGAGGGAAACTCTATCTCAAAAAAAAAAAAAAAAAAATTAGCCAGGCATGGTGGTGGACACTTATAATTCCAGCTACTCAAGAGGCTGAAGCAGGAGAAACTCTTGAACCTGGGAGGCGGAGGTTTCAGTGAACCGAGATTGCGCCATTACACTCCAGCCTGGGCAACAAGAGTGAAACTCCGTCTCAAAAATAAATAAATAAATACTAAATGAGAAGGCAAACAAAAATCTAATCAAAATTGCTGGGTGTTATATTTCAGTATTGCATTTCTAAACCTCAGTACTTTTAGTAAGAATCTCAATGCCATTTCAAATAGCAAATCATTTAAGTTTTTAAATGAATGTGGTACTGGGTTTCTAATTAAACAAAATAGGCATTCAAAAAAACTCTAACAAAGAAAATGATGGTTTAGGTATGATTTTTGTAATACTGTTTAAATCTAGTGCAAGCAGCATAAAAAAATGTTAACTCAAAATTATTCTTATTATTTTTTAAACTCTTTTTTTTTTCATTGTAAAATGATAGCACTTTCCTTATACTCACCTTTGGGCATGATAAGTTAGGCAAAATTTATCTCAAAGGTCACGAAATGTCGTCAATGGAAAAACAGTTATTATTCACTGAATAATTATAATAATTTTAATTTAACTAAAATATTTACTAAGCAAGTACTAAACTGGAATTTTCAAAACGCGGCTTTACAACCCCTTCAAATACTTTTAGTGTACTAAAAAATAGTGTTTAAAAATAGCAATTCAAGCAGTAGTTTACTTTAAACCTGGTTTTTAGATTCTAATTCATATTGAATTTTTTTTATTTCAAAATGAGGCTAGAAATTTTGAAATTTTTAAAAATCATAACCAGATTTTCTAGTTATTCTTGTTTAATGCAAAAACTAATCAATTACACCTCACTGTCACCTTTCTTTGTAAGCAAGGTTCATACCTGTCTACAGAACGGCCTGGCCCCACTCCGAGTTCGGGACGTGCACTAGGTAAGAGGTAAGACAATCTGTCCATCACTGAGGACGCCACAGGTAAGGCAGCAACATTTTGATTTATTTTCTTGAGTTCATTTACAATGGCACTGGCAATGGACTTCAACACATGATGAGGAAGATGAAATGTAACTGTGGCCCACTGAAAGAAAATGGGAGTATAAGCAAAGGAAAATGTACACAACAGTTTTAACCGAAATCATAACTTAACCATTATCAAATAAAGAACTACTCACCAGTTTCAAGTCAGTTTTCTTCATTAGTTTATCATTTAAAGTAGAAACTTGCAGTTATAAAAAAATTAAAAAATATCTTACAAGAGTCGAGATATGGAACCAACCTAAGTATCCATCAATGGGCGATTGGGTAAAGAAAATGTGCAGTAAAGACCAGGTGCAGTGGCTCACGCCTGTAATCCCAACACTCTGGGAAGCTTAGGAGGAATTAGTTTTAGTGATCTGGTGACTGCAGTTACTAATCATGTATTGTATATTTCTTTTTTCTTTTTTTTTTTACACTCTGTCTCCAGGCTGGAATACTGAGGCGCAATCTTGGTTCACTGCAACCTCTGGCTCCTGGGTTCAAGTGATTCTCCTGCCTCAGCCTCCATGAGTAGCTGGGATTACAGGCGTGTGCCACCACGCCTGGCTAATTTTTTTGTATTTTTAGTAGAGACGGGGTTTCACCAGGTTGGTCAGGCTGGTCTCGAACTCCTGACCAGATGATCTGCCCGCCTCGGCCTCCCAGAGTGCTAGGATTACAGGCATGAGCCACCGCCCCTTGGCCCATGTATTGTAAATTTCAAAATTGCTAAAAGAATAGTATACATTCTCACTACAAAGAAATGGTAAGTAGGTGAGTTGATAGATATGTTAATTCGCTTAATTTAATCTTTCTATAATATATACATATATTACAACATCACATTATACTCCATAAATAAATACAATTATTTGTCAATGAAAATTTTTTAATTTTTTAAATGAAACCTCAACTAACTACCCTGGAAAAGACAGTTCAGAACCAGACAGTAACACACGTTCTTATATATATCACCAAAAATTAAGGACAACTAAAATCATCTGTCATTTTTCCTATTCATCCAGCACAATGTTAAGCACAGAGTAGGCACTCAAATACCTCCATCCATAAGAATATATTTAGACAATTACCATTATTGGAGTATATGAGGATTTAGTTCAGCATAGCAAATGCATGTTTTTGTTGCTATTGTCACCATAATCCAGCAATAGCAACTAAAAACACGGCCTTAGAGTCACACATCTGGATTCTGAGCCCAGCTTCGCCATCAACAATATTCGATAAATGTTAGCCATGATTATTTAATATTATAAAAATTACTGAAGTTAGACCACAAAAATGCTAAGTACTATTCTCCCAGAGAAATAAGTCTATAATGTAATTTCATCTTTATATCCTGTCCCCAGTTCACCCATGAATGATTGCTGCTCTTGTTTAGTACACTCAAGGCAGACTAGTATATTATTACTTATCTATACAATACTGGAAAAACTTGTGGCCAAAAACATGACTTGAATTGCTAAAAAAAGAAAAACAAACAGAGAGAGAGAGAGAATAAAAACTTCTAGACCTAATTAATCTGTTCACAGATCACAGCTTTTTATTGAAAGGGAAGATGACACCCCTTGAGAAAGGATCCTACGATACCCCAACTATATACAGTACTGTAAATCATACTCCAAACCTTCCCTCAAAAAGACCTATGGGCATTCACTACAGTGACTATGCATGGGGGAAAAGATCTTTCAGGCATTACAAAAAAGTAGCACTGAACTGACCTAAAACATCACTGTGGTCCACGAAAGAGGGCACGTAGGATGGTCAAGCGATTAATAAAGTTTTGGCCCAAAGCTGTCTTAGAGAGTTCTATGGGTCTGTAAATCATTATTGTATAATAGTTACTTCCCCAGTCCCTGAATGCATAATATAAAACAGGCAACTGAAAACAATCCCCAAATCAGCTCTCTGCTCTTCTCTGTGGACCAGTAATACAGAAAACACCAAGTATAAGCCCCTAGAACTTTCCTTCTCTACAAAGATATTAAACTAAAGCAATGCTACATTCCTGAAGAAATTTTTTAGATTAATGCCACTGTGAAAGATTTGAGGCTGGGCACAGTGCCTTCATACCTATAGTCCTAGCACTTTGTGAAACTGCAGATGGAGGTTCGTTTGAGCCTAAAAGCCTGAGACCATCCTGGTCAACACAGCAAGATCTCATCTCTGCTAAAAAAAAATAATAGCCAGGCGTAATGGCATGCACCCGTCATCCCAGCTACTCAGGAGGCTGAGGTGGGAAAATCACTTGAGCCCAGGAGGGCAAGGCTACAGTAAGCCAAAATCACATCATTGTACTCCAGCCTGAGTGAGAGAGCAAGACCCTGTCTTGGGAAGAAAAAAAAAAGAGAGAGAGAGAGAGAGACTTAAAAGATACAGAGGTAACCAAATGACCTCGTCCCCTTTACTGGCCTGTTGTAAATGGATCTTGAAGAATGACTGTGGATGGTAAACTATCAGGTGGTGACTTCAATTTGCAGCTGATTTTCCAGATGAGGTATCTTTATTAAAGCAAATCAACAAATCCCCTGATACCTGGTAGGCAGTTACAGTTCTTTCCAATATGTTTCTATCTTTAGTTTTAAGGACTATCGAAAAAGTCCACTTTCACCTGGCAGGAACAATAATAAATCTGCCCAATATTTCCCTAAGACCACATCTCACGTTCTAGAAATCCTGATCATTATAACATCCTGCAGATCAACATACTGGTCCACTACATCATGACAGCACACTGATTGGTCCAGATGAAGATGAAACAGCAAGGAAATTAAATGCCTTAGTAAGGTGCAAACCAGAGAACAAGAGTCCCCAGAAAAACTCAAGATTCTGTAGCTGTGGTTAAGTTTCAGAGGTCCAGAGGTCTGGTTAGGTCAGTTCCCTCCAAACTGAAACACAAGTTGCTCCAACTTGTAACACCAACCACAGAAACAAAAGCCACAATACTTAGTGGGCCTACTTGGATTTGGGAGCCAATATTCAGCACACTTCAATGTGTGCTCTAATCCAAGTATCAAGAAATATATAAGGGTGCCAATTTTGAGTAAGGTGCAGAACAAGAAACTCTGCAACAAGACCAGACTGTACTGCAAGATACTCTGCTACTTTTACCTTAAGAGCACTTTCAATGACACTGACACTAGAAGTCCATGGCAAATAATGATGCTGTAAGGAGCCTGTGGCAACCTAACTGGGACAATCACACAGCAGAATACTACGATCTTGGAGCAAAGCCATATTCTCTCATGCAAATGACCATTCTCCTTTTGAAAAACAACTCCTAGTTTCTTACTAGTCCCAGACAGAGATTAATATCTATCTATGAAACTAATGTCTACGAATTCAGAGCTGTCCAGATGCTATCTGACACACCAACCATAATATTGAGCACAAGCAACAAGTATCCTTCATCAAGTGTTTTATAAGAGATCCATCTTGACAAAGTCCAAAAGAAAAAACTGAATAAACAAGTGGCTCAGAATTCAATACCTACTCCCACTATAATGTCTCCTCCTTGTTCTACATCAATAGCTTCATTGGGAACTCCTTACGATGAAATAATATGAGGGGAAAACACTCTTGGTCCTGATTTACAGATGGTTCTGCATGATATGCTAGTGCTACCCTGAAGTGGATGGCTACAGAGTTACAGCCCCAATCACAAGGACAGTGGTGAAGGTAAATCTTCTCAATAGCTAGAACTTCAGTCAGTATATGTGAGTATTCTTGTATGGATTTAGTTGGCCAGAAGTAAAGATCCTCACTAATTAACGGAGAGTTGCTAATTTGTTAGCTAGATGGTCAGGCACTTGGAAGAAACAGGACTAGAAGACCAGCAGCAAGGAGGTCAAAAACAAAGGTCTATGAATAGAACTCCCAGAGGGCAAAAATATTTACGAAATATGTCAATGCACACCAAAAGGCATCCATTTCAGAGGAAATGGGAGAAATTATACACATTATATACATGACAGTAAGCCTCTCTCCAAGGGCACTCCAGTGCTTGCTCAACGGACCTGTGTGCAAACTACCATGGCAAAAGATATGGAGGCTATGCACAGGCCCAAAAATGTAAACTTCCCTGTACAAATACTAACCAAGCTACAGCTGTTGCTGATTGCCTAATCTGCCAAACAGCAGTTAACAAAGTTGGGTGGCCAATATCACGCCATTTCCCAGGGGGAATAGCCAGCTATCTGATGGTAGGTTGATTATACGGGATTCCTAGTCATGGACTAGGCAGCAATTTGTCTTCAACATAACAAATATATATTCTAGGTATGCATTTACCTGTTCTGTCCATAGGCTTCTGCTCTCACATTACACAGTCTATTGCCTGTGGACTGACAGAATGTCATGGTATTGTAGAAAACTTTGCTTCTGATCAAGAAAAGTATTTCAAAGAAAAAAAAAAAAAAAAAATTTTTCCCACTGGTCTTACTGTGCATTATCCTGATGAAGTTGGCCTGGCAGAAAAGCTCAATGGTCTACTAAAGACTCATTTTCAACACTAACTGCAAGAAACATGCTGAAAGGTTATAGGGTTCTACCTTACAAGATAAAGCATATGCTCTGATTCAACCAAAAATGTATGACAGTTTCTCTAAGCATGCCCACTATTATATTTAATAAACCCATTCACAGATTTTTTTTTTAAGCTTTCAGCTCTACAGGTCTTACTCCCAAGGGAGGAATGTTCCTGCAGGGGTACAACACCACTTCCATTGAAGTTGGTGTTGAGATTGCTACCCAGCAACTTTGAGGTCCTCTTGCCACTGAATAAATAGGCAAAGAAGTACGTTATTCTACTAGTTTGTATGACTGGAACTGACAAGAGGAAAACTGGATTGATACTAAATAACAGAGGCAAGGAGAACTTACGCAGAACCCAGGAGATTCTCTAGGATGCCCCTTAATACTTCCAAGTCCAATAGTAAAGGTGAAGTAACAATTACAACTTAAAATACAGCACCAGCCAGGCTTGGTGGCTCACACCTGTAATCCCAACACTTTGGGAGGCCGAGGCAGTGGATCACCTGAGGTCAGGAGTTCGAGACCAGCCTGGCCAAAGTGGTGAAACCCTATCTCTACCAAAAATACAAAAAATTAGCCAGGTGTGGTGGTGGGCGCCTATAGTCCCAGCTACTCGGGAGGCTGAGGCAGGAGAATGGCTTGAACCCAGGAGGCGGAGGTTGCAGTGAGCTGAGATCATGCCACTGCATTCCGGCCTGGGTGACAAAGTGAGACTCCATCTCAAAAAATAACATAAAATAAAATAAAAACACAGCACCACGGAGGATTCAGATTCTTCAAGAGTGAAGATGGGTTGCTCCACTACGTAAAGAATCCTGACCAGCTGAGGTGCTGAATGATGATAGAGCTGATAAGAAACAGGTAATAGAAAAAAAAAGAAATTATATTATCTTCTCAACTATTATGCGTCCTCTTGACCAATATACGCTCTTGACCATTATAAACTGAGGACTAGGCTGGGCGCAGTGGCTCACACCTATAATCCCACCACTTTGGGAGGCCAAGGTGGGCAGATCACAAGGTCAGGAGTTCAAGACCAGCCTGACCAATATGGTGAAACCCCATCTCTACTAAAAATACAAAAATTAGCCAGGAGTGGTGGCATGTGCCTATAATCCCAGCTACTCAGGAGGCTGAGGCAGGAGAACCACCTGAACCCAGGAGGCAGAGGTTGCAGTGAGCCGAGATCATACCACTGCACTCCAGCCTGGGTGACAGAGAAAGACTCTGTCTAAAAAACAAACAAACAAAAATTAAATTAAAAAATTAAATAAACTGAGGACTAGGCCACTCGTGGTGGCTCGCACCTGTAATCCCAGCATTTTGGGAGGCAAAGTTGGGTTGATCACGAGGTCAGGAGTTCAAGACCAGCCTGACCAACATGGTGAAACCCCACGTCTATTAAAAATGCAAAAATTAGCCAGGCATGGTGGCACGCGTCTGTAATCCCAGCTACTCAGGAGGCTGGGGCAGAAGAATTGCTTGAACCCAGGAGGCAGAAGTTGCAGTGAGCCAAGATTGTGCCACTGCATTCCAGCCTGGGCAACAGAGCAAGACTCTGTCTCCAAAAACAAAAATAAATTTTTTAAAAAGCATAATAGTTTTGTTACATGAAAGTTCAAATATATAAAGTATGAATGGAGATGCTAAGTAGCCAACAGGGTAGACTGTGCCAGTTAAACTGTTGTCTCTGAGTTCCAAATCTACTCTTTAATTCTCTGCTCTATCAGGTTGGGGCTAGGACTCTGCATACTATATTTCCTCTTTTCAACCAGTTTCCTGGCTTTTAGGTTCTCCCAGCAGCAGTATAGGAAGGAAACTGGAAAGAAAGATGAAAGAAGAAAGACTTGCTCCTTCTTATTTACTGGCCACTGCCGTCAGCACTGTTTCGGCAAAGGACCTGACGCAGTAGTTGATTCTTCCAGTCTTCAGCATTTTGTTTTGGTTTGGTTCTTTTAGCACTATGAGATCCAGTTTCACAGAGCTCCCTCAGAGATACTACCAACAGTCAAGTAGCATCTCTCTTCAGAGATCTGAGTCCCAGTTTTGCAAGGTCCTCGTCCACGCTCCTGAGCTACCAACTGGGTAGCAGTTCCTAGTACCAGATCCACGGGGCCTATTCTCTTAAGTTTCTAGGTTCTGATAACCCCTAATCTTTGTTCCTCCAGACCTAGGTGAAAACTGCTTCCTATAGTTATCTCTGTTATCTCAGGATATCCTTTTCACTTTTTCAGTTTTCAAACACCAGTTAATTTCTTATAATACATTATTTCTGTTGAAATTCATAGTACAGTTTCTGTTTTCCTAAATAAAATGTCCCATCAATAAAGTAAGGTATAATAAAATCATGATAAATCTACCAAAAAAAAAAAAAAAAAAACCTCAATGCAAATATTAAGAAGAACACAGATGATCTCTGAGGGTATGAGAAGATATCCAAGATAAATTCTTGAGTGAAAAAAAGCAAGGTGGCCAGGCTCGGTAGCTCACGCCTGTAATCCCAGAACTTTGGGAGGCCGAGGCAGGGGAATCACAAGGTTAGGAGCTCAAGACAAGCCTGGCCAACATAGTGAAACCCCACTTCTACTAAAAATACAAAAATTAGCCAGGCATGGCAGCGTGTGCCTGTAATCCCAGCTACTCAGGAGGCTGAGGAAGAATAGCATGAACCCACGAGGCGGAGGCTGCAGTGAACTGAGATCACACCACAGCACTCCAGCCTAGGTTACAGAGCGAGACTCTGTCTCAAAACCAAAAAAAAAAAAAAAGAGCCAGGCACAGTGGCTCACGCCTGTAATCCCAGCACTCTGGGAGGCCGAGGCGGGCAGATCACCTGAGGTCAGGAGTTCGCAACTTGCCTGACCAACATGGTGAAACCCTGCCTCTGTTAAAAAATACAAAATTAGCCTGGCGTGGTAGCACACACCTGTAATCCCAGTTACTCAGGAGGCTGAGGCAGGAGAATCACTTGAACCTGGGAGGCAGAGGTTGCAGTGAACCGAGATCGTGCCATTGCACTGCAGCCTGGGAAACAAGAGTGAAACCCTGTCTCAAAAGAAAAAATAAAAGGAAAAAAGCAAGGTGTATCACAACACAGTATTAGTATATTTTAGTATAGTTACAACTGTACTTGAGAAGAATCTTTGTAAATGCCCAAGTTACTTATAGGAAAATGGCTTTTACCTTCTACCTTATACCCTTCAATATGGAAGTTTCATATGTAGTATAACTTAGAAAAGGTCTTAGAAGAAAAATATGGAGGAAATCAATAAAAATGTATCCAAGGATTTAATTGAAAGCACCCTCTCTCATATACATCCCAGTATGCCAAAAAATTTCAGAGAAAGCACAAAATGGCTCAATTTCCAAAGACACAGTCCATTCTTATCCAAGCATCCAAGCTCACAACCTAACAAGGAAGCTTCTTTTATCAGCTTCTTGACCAATCCAGGTCTATCAGGCACTAAGGAAGATTTAAGGAAGCATCAGAAAACACAATAAGCAAAATAGTCCCCACAAACTGAAGTTAAGCTTCGATTAAAAAGTTTCAAAGTTTCAACTTTTTTTTTTTTTGGTAAAAGAGTCTCACTCTATCCCCCAGGCTGGAGTGCAGTGGCGCAATCTCTGCAATCTCGGCTCACTGCAACCTCCGCCTCCCGGGTTCAAGTGACTCTCACACCTCAGCCTCCAAGTAGCTGGGATTACAGGCACCTGACACCACACCTGGCTAATTTTAGTATTTTTAGTAGAGATGGGTTTTCGCCATGTTGGCCAGGCTGATCTCAAACTCCTGACTTCAGGTGATGTGCCCACCTCGGCCTCCGAAAGTGCTGGGATTAGAGGCGTGAGCCACCATGCCTGGTCAGTTTCAACTTTAAGATGACTTATAAGCACATTTTGCTTTTTAAAAGAAAAACCTAGAATTAGAACATTTCCAAAAGGAGAGGAAACAGCAAAAGAATGGAGGTGTCCATTGTAATATAACCCCAAAAGAGGCAGTCTATTAACTTCTTACCTTGGCAACTTTGTGGTTTGCTGCAGTCTCATGAGATGTATTTTTTAAACCATCTTTGAGCTGTGTGATGAACAAATCATAACCCTCCGTACTAGAAATATCTACCTTTTCTAAACATGCTGATAAGAGCTGCTGTGCCTAAAAAATAAAAATAAAAAAAACAGAAAATTCAACACAAGAACAACAAAAAATTAAATTTAGATCCTCATTCAGATAGTTTAATATGCAATGATTATGATAGGTACTATACTAAACTTACCTTTTAACAAATCTAATTAATTAAACAATAATTTAAAAGCCTGTTATAAAATTAAACGAGATAAAGCAATGTATTCAGTGCAGCAGTACTACATGGTAAAGTTTACATACAAAGTAGTTATTATAAACCAAATCAAGATAGAAAAATGGACAAGCTGAAACCATAAGCAAAAATAATACAGGAAAAAATCTGAAGAGACAAACTTAAAGTCCTCCAATGAGCTTTAAATACTCAAGTTATACAAAGTCATAATAGAGCACACTAAGTCAGCAAGTAATATGAAAAGACCCTTTGCGTTGTTATCCACATATTCAATATGAACTTCCGTAATAAAGATATATGTTAATATAAGGCAAAGAGTTTATCTACACTGGGCAAATTAAACCTAAGACCCCATACACTTTAGGGAAAACAGTGACAAACTAATATGATGCAGTAAAGGAAGGCTGGAATGCTGAAAGATCTACAAACAATATTATCCGAACAACAGTTACAGCTGTGAGGAAAGTAAAAAGAGAAAAAAAAACAGTAGATGTAACAGCAGACAAGGTGGAGGAAGGGATAGAAGTTAAACACTTAGCATTTCACTGTAGTAGGAAAAACACTGACTTGAGAGTTAATAAGTGTTCAAGTATTTTATTGTAATTCTTTAAATCTTTGTTAAACCTGAACATAGTTTGATAGTGTTTTTCGCTGCTGATTATATATCCTGATATCAGCTGGTTTACATTCCTTAAATTAGGAGGAAAAAATGTTCAATTTTTTCAAATGGTTTTTCAAAGTTTCTACTTGTTCAAATCAAGTAGAACTAATTAATTATCTATCCAAAGATTTTAGACATGCCTCCAGACCCAAATACTCTGATGAGAAAAAGATAGCTTCTCTGTTTGTGGAACTCAAACTTCCAGCAACATGCTTTCAATTTTAACATATAATAGACTATGTTATATGACACTAAATGTAAAATTTAAGTGGACATACTTTATTGGACATACTTTTTTGATAACTTTCATAATAACTTAGCATGAACACAGAAATAATATCTCACTTTATTAGAAAACACAACATAACCTTTTACATTCTATTTAAGGTGATGCAAAATCCAGTAATTGTGAAAAATGTACTTTCAAACTGCAGGATATGAACCCACACAAAAAGAATTTAAGTTGGGCTAGACTTAAAAATTAAGAAAATTTAACACTACAGAAAAGTATATAGAGCTAAAACTTAAAACTCAAATTATTGAAAGACATGATGCATAGCAAAAATTACTGGTTGTGTGGCCGGGCACGGTGGCTCACGCCTGTAATCCCAGCACTTTGGGAGGCCAAGGCAGGCGGATCAATTGCAGTGAGGAATTCAAGACCAGTCTGGCCAATAAGGTGAAACCCGTCTCTACTAAAAATACAAAAACTAGCTGGGTGTGGTGGCGCATGCCTGTAATCCCAGCTACTCGGGAGGCTGAGGCAAAAGAATTACTTGAACCCGGGATATGAAGGTTGCAGTGAGCCAAGGTCGAGCCACTGTACTCTAGCCTGGGTGACAGAGCAAGACTCTGTCTCAAAGAAAAAAAAAAAAAAATACTGGTGTTCACCAGTGTGTACTCCTCTCTCATTTTAAAATATTTAAAACAAAAAGGAAAGAACCACCTTTTTCCCAGTCTCCCTCTCAGCTTGGTGTGGCCATGTGACTAAATTCTGTCTAGTGGGGTAAATATGAGGTTATATGAGAGAGTATTTGAGTTGTGAAAGGCAGAAAGAGAACAAGAACAAACGAGCAGGAGAGGGGGCGGGGGTTAAGGGACAGGGAAAAGGAAGGAGGGAAGAGTGAGATGCCACAGTGCTCTCCTCTAGCCTCCTGCCCTCTCCTTCCCTGTGACTGGGAAATAATGAGACCTAGAGCAGCTGTCTTAAAACTCCCAAGCTAACCCAAGTGTTGAGGTTGGCAATACTGGCCATACATTTAGCCCTGGACTGTTAATGGAAACAAGCTATCCTGTTTAAGCCATTGTTTTTTTGGGTCTCTGTTACAGCTGTTTAACCTGTGCTGATGCACCATTCACACCTAAAAACACCACTTCAACAAGAATTAATTATACAGAGAAAAGGTGAGTATTAATATTTAAATGAAGTTGTGGTCAATAAGTAAATTCTTTTTATAGCAATACATACAATAACGTCCTTAAAGTTTGACTTAATTTCATTTAACATCTAATACATCTAATATTACATTAAGTAGAGGACCTCATTGATACTTATTTCCACTTACCTCTGTAACGGGTAATTCAAGCTGAACCACATCATCCTGCTTTGAAACTGGAGTTTGCAGAGCAGTGTCTAACAACAAGATTCCATTAAGGTCCTTCCTACACCCTACTGCATAATCATCCACAAATATAACTTTATCCACAGCAGAAATATACTGACATTTCACCTGTCCACCTGGTTTAGCTGTTAAAAGAACAAAAATTCAACACTTAAGATTTTCAGCCCAGTGGTCTATTAAAAATAAATGTTTACGTAGCGACTAAACACAATATATTATCCTGAATTGGATCTTAAACTGGAAAAAACTTCTCTGAAGAACATCATTGGGCCAACTGGATTAAATTCAAATATGTACCATAAATTAAATAAAAGCATCAATGTGAAACTATCAAAATCTGACAACCAAATTGCTATTATAAAAGAACATCATTGTTCTGAGAAATAAACACAGAAACAGTATAGGAAAAATGAGCAAGATATATGCAACCAACTCTCAAGGAGAATAAAAATATGTATGTGTATATATATACATATAAGGGAATAATCAGCAAATGTAGTAAAATGTTTAAAACTAGTAGAGCTGGGTAAAGGGTATATAGGGAAGTTCTTTGTAACATACTATTCTCGCAATCTTTCTGTAAGTGCAAAATTAAAGTGTTCAAAACAAAACTTTTAAAAATGAATTATTGGATGTCATTTTTTACAAAACTCAATAAGCATAAAGACAGCATGGACAGTTATTAGATACAGTAGTGCCCCTCCTTATCTGCAGTCTCACTTTGTGCAGTTTCAGTTACCCAGTCAATAGAAGTCCAAAAACAGGTAAGTACAGTACAATAAGATATTCTCAATCAAAGGTCCAAAAGTAGGTATAGTACAATAAGATATTCTGAGAGAGAGACCACATTCACATAACTTCTATTATATTATAATTGTTCTATTTTATTATTAGTTGTTAATCTCTCACTATGCCTACATTTTAAATTAAACTTTATTATGGGTATGCATAAGAAGAAAACCCAGCTAACCCTCAAACCATGCAAGTTTGAACACCATGAGACCACTCATAACATAAATTTTTTTCAATGTATTGGAAAAAATTTCAGAGATTTGTGACAATTTAAAAAACATGCAGACAAAACACGTAGCCTAGAAATATCTAAAAAAATTAAGAAAACAGTATGTCAGTGATGCATAAAATATATGTAGATACTAAGTCTATTTTATCATTCACTGACGTAAAATATACATAAATCTACTATAAAGTTAAAATTATCAAAACTTACACGAATAGTATATGGCACGAGTCAAGAAAAACATAAACAAATGTAAAAAGTACAGTATTAAATCATAACTACATAAAAGTAACTGTAGCATACATTATAAAACTGATAATTTTGTTCCTATTGCAGTGAGTTCAAGTATTATGAGTATCCACCATGTGACCCTAACCACATCCAGGTGAGCAGTTCACCTCTCAATTGTTAATTGGTAATCGCAGTAAAAAGTGATCTCTCCTTATTCTCATGTATTTTCACTGGGTTTAGTGTAATACCATAAACCCTGAATAACACTATGAGACCCATACAAGGTGCCACTAGTGATGCTGGAAGTGTTCCCAAAAGGCAGAGACAAGTCATATGATTACAAGAAAAAGCTGAACTGCAAAAAAAAAAAAAGAAAGAAAGAAAGAGAGAAAATACATTTACGGCACTATATGGCACTTATCAATACTGTAAATATATGTCATCTGTTTACAAAATGAATCCTGTGTCTGAAATGGCATGTAACCACAGCTGCAGACCTCAGTCTACGATACATATCAAGCAATTCAGCTTTTTCGGCCCGGCACGGTGGCTCACGCCCGTAATCCCAGCACTTTGGGAGGCCGAGGTGGGCGGATCACAAGGTCAGGAATTTTTTGTTTTTTTGTTTTTTTGTTTTTTTGTTTTTAAGAGACAGGGTCTCGCTACATTGCCCAGGGCAACTCAAATGCCTGGGGCTCAAGCAATCCTCCTGAGTGGCCAGGCCTACAGGAGCACACCACTGTGCCTGGCATGTCAACATACTTAATGGTAAAAGACTGAATACTTTCCCATACAGATCAGGAAGAAAACAAGGATGTATGCTCTTACCATTCCTATTCAATACTATACTAAAAGATCTAGTCAGTGCAATAAAAAATGAGGATATAAAAGGCAAACAAATCAAAAAGAAATAAAACTGTCCCTTTTTACAGAAATATGATTACTCATGTAGATAAAAAATCATACTTTTCTATACCAGCACAGATTAACCTAAAATCGAAATTTATTTTTTAAAATACCAGCTTACAATAGCTCTAAAACATACTTATACATATACACAGAAGGTGTATATGTACGCTGAAAAGTATAAAAGGCTGATTACACAAATCAAAAGCCTAAATAATACCATGTTCATGGACTGAACAAGTCAATCTGGTAAAAACGTCAACACTCCCCAAATGGATCTACAGATTTAACGGAATTTCAATCAAAATCCCAGGTGGGGTCAGCATGACGGCTCACACCCATAATACACTTCGGGAGGCCTATGCAGAAGGATCGCTTGAGCCAGGAGTTTGAGACCAGCCTAAGTGAGACCCCGTCTCTATCTTAAAATTTCAAAAATTTAGCCAGGCATAGTGGCACATACCTGTAGTTTTAGATACTCAGACACTGAGGTGGGAGATCACTCGAGCCCAGGGGTTCAAGGCTACAATGAGCTATGATTGCGCCATATAAATAAACTGACTGAAATGTATTTGAGAAGGCAGTACCACAAGAAAGTGTGGTACTTGCAAAGGACAGACATATAGCTCAATGGAACAAAGTAGAGCCAAGAGATATGACTATATAAACACGGCCACTGGATTTTTTTAATTATGTAGTTTTTTAAATTGTGGTAAAATACACATAAAATTTACCATTTTATCATTTAAGTGTACGGTTGAGTGGTATTAAGTATATTCATGCTGTTGTTTATCCATCATCACCATCCATCTCAGAAGACCTTTCATCTTGCAAAACTGAAACTCTGTACCCTTTAAACAGTAACTGACTTTTATCCCCTCTCCCCAAAGCCTGGCAACCACTTTGCTACTTTCTGTCTTCATGAATTTGACTACTCTAAGTATCTCACATGAATGGAAGGAATCACATAGTATTTTTCCTTTTGTGACTGGCTTATTTCCCTTAGCATAATGTCCTGAAGGTTCCTTTACATTAGAGCCTATGTCAGAATTTCCTTCCTTTTATCCATTCAACTATCAACAGACAGGCACTTAGGTTGCTTCGGCCTTTTGGCTATTTCGAATAGTGCTGCTATGAACACTGGCGTACAAATATCTCCTTGATTCCCTGCTTTCAATTCTTTGAGGTACATACCCAGAAACAGAACAGCGATCATATGGTAATTCTATTTTTTCCTTAATTTTCTGAGGAAACTCCACCATTTCCCATAATGGCTGCACCATTTTATATTCCCACCAGCAGTGCACAAGAGTTCCAGTTTCTCCACACCCTTACCAACACTTATTCTCTGTTGTTGTATTTTGTATACGGTGTTAAAGTTCAACTTCACACTTTTTGCATGTGAGTATTCAGTCTTTCCAGCATCATTTGTTGAAAAGACTGTCGTTTCCCCCAATGAATGGTCTTGGCCTCCTTGTTGAAAATCATTTGACCATATATGCAACAGTTTATTTCTAGGCTCTCTATTCCATCAGTCTATATGTCTGTCTTTATGCTCGTACCTTACTATTTTGATTACTGCAGCTTCGTACTAAATTTTGAAATCAGAAAGTGTTAATCTTCCAACTCTGTTCTTTGTCAAGATTACGTTGAACTATTTAGGGTCCCTTGAGATTCTATATGAATTTTAGAACAGAATTTTTTTTTTTTTTTTTTTTTTGCAGAAACAGAAAAAAAGTTATTGGGATTTTTATAGGAATTGCAATGAGTCTGCAAATTGTTTGGGGCAGTACAGATATCTTAATAATATGAAGATAGTATGAAGTTCTGGCAAGGATGCAGAACAACTGGAACTCTCATACATTTCTAAAGGAAATACAAATGGTACACTGGTTTGACGGTTTCTTAAAAAGTTAAACACACACTTACCAAACGGCCCTGTAATCCTACTTCTGTGTATTTACCTTGAAGACATAAAAGCTTATGTTCACACAAAAATCTGTACTCAGAAGTTTATAATCGCTCTATTTATAATCATCACACACTGAAAACACCCCAAATGTTTTTTTTCTTTGTCTTTGTCTTTTTTTTGAGACAAGGTCTCACTGTGTCACTCGGGCTGACGTATGGTAGCGAAATCACTGCTCACCACAGCTTTGACCTCCAGGGCTCAGGTAATCATCCCATCTTAGCCTCCCAAGTAGCTGGGACCACAGGTGCACACCACCATGTCTGGCTAACTTTTTGTATTTTTTGTAGAAACAGGGTTTTGCCATGTTGTCCAACCTGGTCTCAAGTGATGTGCCCACCCCGGCCTCCCTAAGTGCTGGGATTACAGAAGTAATAAGCCACCACACCCAGCCCCAAATATACTTCGAAGAGTGACTGGCAGAACAAATAATTATACATCAATACAATGGAATACTATTCAGTAATAAAAAAGGAATGAACTACTAATACATGCAAAAACTTGAGAGAACCTCAAGGGCATCACGCTAAGTGCAAGTAGCTAGTATCAACAGGTTATATAATGAATGATTACATTTCAATAATAATGTAGAAAACACAAAACTCCACAGTATGGAGAACAGATCAGTGGTCCCAAAAGATTAGTGGTACAGGGAAGATGCAACTACAAAGGGATACCACAGGGAATTTTTTCAGGTGTTGAAACTGGTCTGTATCCTGACTGTCATGGTGGTTTATATCAATCTATGCAGTGTGTGTAGCTGTATTACTAGTACACAAAAAAATAGACAATTTTACTTTATAGTCTATAAAAAATAAAAATTTTTAAATGATATTGTAAAAGAATAAACACGCCCTGGCGCAATGGCTTCACACCTGTAATCCCAGCACTTTAGGAGGCCGAGACAGGCGAATCACTTGAGGTCAGGAGTTTGAGACCAGCCTGGCCAACCTGGTGAAACCCTGTCTCTACTAAACAAAAATTAGCTGGGCGTGGTGGCG